AGATGCTTACATCAAAATCTAGGTTTCTTCATTGACATTTTCTTTATAATAAAGGTCAAGGCTAAATTAAAAATACAACACACACACACACACACACAACCCTCCAGACTAGGGGAATGGGGAGTTAACATTTAATGGTAACTGAGTTTTAGTTTGAGAAAATGAAGTTTTGGAAAAGGGCAGTAGTGGTGATCATACAACAATGTGAATGTACTTAATGCCACTGAAGTATAAACTTAAAACATGGTTAAAAAGGTCAATTTTATGTTATGTATCTTTTATCCCCCCAACCCTTTCCAGAATTATCTGATCTAACAGGTAACCCTGCTCAGGACAAAAATGACATCCTGTTGTGAAGAACCAGGAGCCTGGACAAGCCCTGGACCCACAGGCCACTCATTGACCTTGACTCAGGGGGTGCTCAGAGCAGCCCTGCCTGCTGTTCTCCTTCAAACACTGGAAGCTGGCTTGAAGCTTCAACACTAAACAGTAGAAGTGCAACGCTTCCCAACCAGAACTATTTTGGGATAGGTGTTACAACTAAGTTGCTTTCCTTATCCAACTACTAACCCCTGCTCTAAGATATCAAAATCAAAGACCTCAGTAAGAGCACAGGTAGTAGTGACTGCCTCCTACAGTGTCCTCCAGGAAACACTGTTTACAAAATGTGATTATATGAGGGAATTTGTTGCATGGGAACTCTGTTTATGAGCAAGGTAAAAGTGGGGGCATATCTACCAGAGATGATAATTTAGTTTGAGAGGATATTATCTGTAATCCAACTGTCATGACAGGGAGCCAGCAGGGCATGCTGCTTCCATGGGTCACTTCTGCATAACCCAACGATATCATCTGTATGTGAAAAACTGCTTTTGTCTGTTTTCTTTAAGTGGGGTGGGATGGTGAGACACGAAGAGCTCATCAACAGGTTATTAAGAAACAAGCTAACGGGAACCAGGACACCTTCCTGTTTAACCTCAGTAGAATATTCTGACTGGCCTGTGAAAACATCTGGACTCTTGAGGAGCAGGTTCTAAATAAGCACCAACATGCCAGGGGCTTTGGTTGGTTTATTTAATTTAGAGTTTCATCAGCTTCTGCCTACAGAGTCAGAGGCCAAAGGAAAGTCAAAATGAGCCACTAATAATCTGGAACCATTTCTAACATATTCTTAGAATATTAAGTGAAAAGAGGATAATAAACGATGTTGACAGTAGTGTCTCAAACTTGAAAAAATAGGCATGGCAAATCAAAGCAAGGAAATATACACAAATATTAGCAGTTGTTATCTGCTAACGCTGAGGGAGTCAGACAATTAAATATTTATGCAGTATACCAATCTTCTATAATGAAGATGTAATAGACAAAGCAAACTGCTGTTAGTGTGAAAATGTACTTTTTTTGTGGAGCCTTTCTTGTGCCTAGCTTTGCTTCCTCCAACTTTTTAAAATCCATCTTGCTTTGGTTGTTGTACGCATCGCTCTGAATTGTGATTGCTTGTTTAAACTCACATCTCTCTCTTCCACACTACACTGATTTCCTTTAGGGCAGAGATCATGCCAGAGTTTTCAACTCTGGTACTTCACACCATGCCTGGCACACGGCGGCCACACAATAAATGTCTATTGTTTCAAATGAAGCATTCAGGCCCTTTAAAATTGTTCCTACAACATACAAGAGTTCCCAAAGTCAAAGGAAAAGACAGTAGCAGACACTAATACCCTCCTAAATTAATGATAATGCTGTAGGGATCCATCAGAGAAAGGAAATAATTCTATAGGCACCTAGGGAAAGGATGCATATATTCCTTTCTTTCTTTCGTTCTTCTTCTTTTTTTTTTTTAATGGCAGACTTTCGCCCTGCCCAAGGAGGTCAGATTCTTTTTGAGCCGGAGTGTTTGAAACTGGGTAGCTAAATAGACTGAAATGGTTAACTACTGAAGAAAAGGAACACCGTAGGATAAAAGCCACGGGAAGAATCTGAGAGCCCAGCTTATTCTCTGGACAAGAGAAGACAATAACATTTCAATTCAGTGCTTCAATAAAATATCTTCTGTAGCTAAAAATCATAATCACAAGTACAAATCTGACTCGCCAAAACCAGCCCTAAAGTCAACTGTAATGTAGATTTCGGCATATAGATGCTGTAAGCAAAATCAAAGTTCTTTGGAAAACATCCTGGTGGTGTATTAGGATCAAACCCAAACCACAAAAGTTGGCCCTGTCTGACCCTGAGGTGCTTTGTGTGTTGCTGTGGATGTGCATGCCTGTCTGGCCCCACAGGGAGCCTCGTCTGTGCATGTGCCGGAGAAGGCCCCTGGGGGAAAATGGTAAGTACGTATGTGCATGACTTAACTTCAGTAATCGCCGTGACTACAAATAAGGAAGGGAGATCATTTATTAATTCATCCTCATTTGTGCAAGGGTTTCCAAAAGACACAAACAAGAGAATGACTCTGAAAAAATCATGGTACAAGAATATCCTGGAGTGATTCGGAAAGATACCCTAAGTGACCCCAATAGAGAAGTGATGTACCTGGTGTGTCAGAAGTTAGGAGGCTGCAGAAAAGAGTATAAAAGAAGAAAGACAAAATCTAGATTTTTTTTTTTGAAACTGTTTATACTCCGAGGGGATGCAAAAAATTCTGTGGGTGAGTCAGCCTGGAAATAATGAGAAAGAGAGTCTATAAAGTTCATAGGAGCTAGGGCTTAATCATACCCCAGAGGAAATTATGTAGCAAAAAGCAAATGCCAGTGCATTTGTTTGATAACATCCATTAGCGCAGACTGTCTGGCAGAAACAAGCAACAGGCATCAAAATATCTCGACTTTAAAGTCAGCACGGAAAAAATGGATGAGCTCTTCAAAGAGTAAATATATATGGCTCATCTAAGATCAAACGATAAGGAACTCTAACCTGTACTTGGTAATTCTCAATGTTATTTTGTTATTTAAAGCAGGGCCCACAATAAGGAAATAAAAGCAGATGGACAATAAGAAGCTTGAAGCAGAAAGAATCAAGGAATGAGCTGAGAACCAAATAATAATGTAAAAATGAAGGGTTTCAGGCCAAACTGAACTGGCCTAGGGCAAGGGCTAGTATAAATATAATTGAAGTTCCTAAACTTTTATTTTTTTTTGTAAATATTAAAATGCTATTTCCCTGGTTAGTATTTCCAAAAATTATACTGTAGGAGATAGATCTGGAATAGTACATGATGACAATCTAAACACTGCTAAAGCAATGTAATTTGTCATAATTAAGAACTGAAATCAGCCAATGTTCCACAACAGGCGCATGGTAAATTGAATTGTGGTACATCTATGGCTTGGATATTATGCAGCTTCTAGTTAATTCTGCGCAGTAACATGGAATATACATGACAGAGCTCTAGATGAAGAAGTCACTTTATACAATATGGATTACAGAGCTAAAGTAATGCTATATATAGTTTTTAAAACAGATTTTCTTAATTACATTTATATTCTCAAGAAAAAGTTTCAATTCAACTTAAATTTGCTTTGATGTTTTTTTTAGTAGTACCCTCATAGAGCTCTAAACATACACCAAGCAGAAGCAAAGCACGTTCCTCGCTTCTATGAGGCTTTATGAAACCCTTAGTAAAATATTGTAGACATAAAAAAATGCTACCTCTGGAGCAGCATCTCTGTAGCTCACACACCGCCTGCCATTCTTTGCCAGTGTTTCTAGAAGTCACCAAGTAAATACCAAGTGTAATGTCTGAAGAGAGAATGATACATTCCCTCATAGGAAGACCCATCGAGCCTTCATGTGTCCCAGTTTATGATTTTGCCGTAGAGACAGTCAAGCATCTATAAACTAGGGAAAGTGAATCCCCAGGGAAGGCTTTGGCTAGGGCCAGCACAGTGCACTTTTCTCCAGGCCCTTTCCTGATGATCAATGTGCCTAAAAGCATTTCAGAAGAGACCATTCCCCTTGGGAGTTTCTGCATTTATTTGCATACCCTGTCCTTTTTTTTTTGACACTTCTTTGTCATTTTGGGATTATTAAACTAATTCCTTTACAGGCATATTTTATTTCTTTTGTATTTCTAAAAAACAGTTCTTAAAGGTGCCCTGATTTATATCTTGGTGTATTTTATCTACTTTATTTACTTAAATACTCTTAAGAATTTTTAAAGCTAATCTTTCTAAGTGAAGAACCTCTCTTCAAGGGATAATTTTTTTATGTCTAGGATACTTCACAGATGCAACAACAACACTAAAAAAGCTGTTTAATTACAGGAAGACAGCTTTTATGCAGTCTTGAAGCATTTGATTTCATTGAAGTATTTAAACTTATTTAATTTTAGCCATATAAAAAATTCAAATACCTTAACAGTGAATTTCAATTAGGGAGAAGGATTAGGGTTATACAAGAAATCACTTGGGGAGTTCTTGAAACTAGACCTGTTGGCATTTCCAAATTCTAGGAGTTTCGGAGTGACTGTCACATTCCCTTCCTGCCGGTAAAACAAACAAAACAAACAAACAAAAAATCCAAAAAATACAAAAACAAGGGAAATGAAATTTGCCTTTGACTTCCCAGGTACTCCTGACCATATTCTGGCTGTTGATCCCTTCATGAGTATTCACAGCATACTTTTAAGAGTTCATTAATTATATTAAAACTGCACTTGTGAAAGTGGGAACTGATTCTAAATACCACAGTTTTGTTGTTACAGAAAGCTCTTACTTGGAGTCATATCATCAAATTGTGTATCATGAGGTTCTAATGAATAGCAGTACTCATCCTTTGGTGCAAGGAAGATCAGAAAAATATTTATTTCACAAGAAAGAATGTTTTCAAGGGGAACGGTCACACAAAAAGAACAAGGTTTTTGATTGTTTGATACTTAAACCCGGAAATGGTTGTGCAGACTGACCTTGCTGGGCTAGGCCATGCAGGTCTGAGCCAGGGAGGTCAGCAGGCACTCGGCATGCACACCCCATTCAAAAGCAGGCAGCCCAGTGACTCACCGGCAGGGCAAGATCCGTACAACGTCGTTGGGCTTGTACCCTTCAATGCAAACTGCACAGTTATCAAAATCGGGCTCTGTTTCCTGTAACAGAGAAAATACAGATGAGCCTACTTGTGTAGCTTCAGCTCTTGGGGAAATATCCAAACAAGCAAGGAGAGCTTGCTTGGAGCAAGGCTTTCAATGGCCCAGCTGCCATTTTCTTAATCAAAAATTGCTCAGTTTCCATTCCTTCCAACCTCCACTTTTTGTTTCTGGGTTCCACTGCAAGCGCTTTTGTAAGGGAACGGTTTTTTAATGTATCGTTACTAATTATGCTATTTATTATAATTGTGAGAAAGTAATTTTTAAAAATACCATCACTGAGAATGCTATTTATTATAATTAGAGGTGACATCAAAAGCTCAAGGATGAGAAATAGCGTTTAGGGAGAACTGTCTGAACGTTATTTCATCTATCACCTCCTTGGGAATCTTATGTACACAACTCCAGAACAATGGATTTAACTTTTTATTCAAGTATATAAATCTCTTTCAATACCCCATTGTATATGATTTATGTGGTGGTCCCTGCTCTTTTATTCTTCTGTTTGAGGGGAAAAAGTAATGAAAAAATATACTTTAAGTTTAGTAATGAATTAAATGAATTTCATCTTATCAAGCTCAATAGCATTTTTATATAGTTGAAAAACAGCAGCATGTAGTGAGACAAATCAATTATTCAGACTAAAGACAATACATGTAAGAGTTGAGAATCCCTTACAATGGCCCAAGGAGCCCCAAATACATGTACTGCAATCTGCTGCTCTATAATTTCTTCTGGGGAGAAGAGAGACCTTTAGAAGTCTGTGGGCCTGGGGCGCCTGGGTGGCGCAGTCGGTTGAGCGTCCGACTTCAGCCAGGTCACGATCTCGCGGTCCGTGAGTTCGAGCCCCGCGTCAGGCTCTGGGCTGGTGGCTCAGAGACTGGAGCCTGTTTCCGATTCTGTGTTTCCCTCTCTCTCTGCCCCTCCCCCGTTCATGCTCTGTCTCTCTCTGTCCGAAAAATAAATAAATGTTGAAAAAAAAATTAAAAAAAAAAAAAAAGAAGTCTGTGGGCCTGGACTATACTGTTTTATTGTTCCTCCTCAAGATATGCTTCTGCTTTTGATATGGTCACTGCAGCAGTGTTTACAATAGCCAAGATATAGAAGCAACCCAAGTGTCCATTGATAGATGACTGGATAAAGAAGATGTGGTGTATATATATGTGTACACACACACACACACACACACACACACACACACACAGGAATATTACTCAGTTATAAAAAAGAATGAAATCTTGCCATTTGTGATTGCATGGATGGATCTAAAGAATATAATGCTAAGTGAAATAAGTCTGTCAGAGAAAGACAAACACCATATGATTTTACTCATAGGTGGAATCTAAGAAACAAATGAACAAAGAAAAAAAAAAAAGGAAACAAAACAACCAACAAAACCCAAACTCTTAAATACAGAGAACCAACTGGTAGTTGCCAGAGGGGAAGTGGGTGAGGGGACAGGTAAAACAAATAAGGGTGATTAGGAGTACACTTATTTTTTTTTTTTTTTGATGTTTATTTTTGAAGGAGAGAGAGACAGAGCGTGAGTAGGGGAGAGGCAGAGAGAGAGGGAGACACAGAATCTGAAGCAGGCTCCAGGCTCTGAACTGTCAGCACAGAGCCCGACATGGGGCTCAAACCCGTAAACCATGAGATCATGACCTGAGCCGAAGTCGGAGGCTCAACAAACTGAGCTGCCCAGGCGCCCCAGGAGTACACTTATCTTGATGAGCACTGAGAAATGTATAGAATTGTTGGGTCATTAGGTCATACACCTGAAACTACTGTATAACACTGTATGTTAATTATAGTGAATTTAAAAAAGATATGCTTTTGCTCTTGGTCTTATGTCATCATTCTACAGCTAGGGAGGCTGCTGCAGTGACTTTGGGGTTCTAGATGCTAGAGTCAGAGGGACTGAATATGCTTTCTGTATTAACTGCAGACGTCAGTGGAGGACATCACTCATCATATAACACTGTCCTCTTTGCAAGGATTTATGGACAAATATTCTCAAGTTGGAACACCAGGGACAACCATTTGGTTTTTACCTTGTGGGACACCAGAATAAGGTAATTAGATATTGCTTGAATATGTTTTCCTTCTTTGCCTTGGCTCCTGGAAAGCCCCAACCTAAATTTGGGATCCATTTCTGTTACACAGTTCAGGTAATATATTTGTGTACAAATTGCATCCTACCTCCCCCTGTTTTTCCTATACTTACTTTTCAATTTCTTATGTATTCTGTCCAACGACTTTGTTGTTCTATTGCCTGTATCTTATTAACTGTTTTGAATTATATTAATAAAGATGGGTATAATAACAGACTTACAGGAGAGCTATTGTCACGTATCCCCTTTTCCCACCCTTCCCTCTCTTCTACCCTGGCTTCCAGAAAAGTCAGGAACTGTTTTCAGATAGCCCCTTACCAAAACAGAAAAGAGGCTGTTACCTTGTCGCCCTTCTTGATGGTTCTGACCTGGAGCTTGCTGATCGCTTTCTTTGCTGCATCTCCCAGTCGGCGCTGAAAAACCAAAAGCTGCTTGTGAGTAATAAAGATGTGTAATTCTTGACCTTGTTTCTGATGGCATTTAATAAACCAGGCCAGCTATCTCTGAAATCATGCACAAGTGGCATGAGTGCTAATGACAATGGCTAGAAGAGATGGGGTAGTCCTATTTGTGCAAAGTGGTTCTAGTAATTGAGGTCTATTAAAGAGCTCTGTCATTGAGAGAAGCTCTTTATGCACAATGTTAAGCAAGTGACAAATGATATGGGAAAATCCCGCACTACAGGGACTCCAGAGCGGGTTACAGTTGTGCAGACTAGCATACACACACCTAAGTTCAGTAACTTGCCACTCTAGCCATTTAACTTGTACAAGGAGATAGCCATTCTGGAGTAGCTGGAATAAACTTCATCTCCTTTTGCACAATCAGGGTTTATTGTTTGTGTATTTCTTTCAATTTGGAATTTTAAGGGATTTCCTTTGCTTATACAGACCCAGCCTAGATTTATATCTCACCTGTACTATCCTATTCCATCACATTCTTACATGCCAATTTCGCATCCTCTGTGTATGTTTAAGAGTGGGTATGCATATAGGAAAATGCATAAAACATACATGTTCAGCTTAAATAATTATAAAGCACACACCCGTGTAACCACTGTAACTCATGTCAAATAATATATTATCACTTCTTTTTTCTTTTTTTGATAGGGAAAGTTGCCATCCTAGTGAGCCCTGAAATAATGTAACGATAGACCAATGAGGAAGAAGGGGAGAGGGAGAAGGGGTGGGTGATGAGAGAATTAAGTTTTAATCTGTCAAGCAGATTTGCTTGTGTGCCTGTGAGTTTTCTACTCCTTCTTAGGTACTATCCTGTAATAGATGTGTATTTGCAGCAGTGAAACATATTTGAAGGACTATAATAAATAAGACATTTAACAAGAATAATCACTTGCTTTCATTAATATTTTTCCTTTTGAAAATAATACTCAAGCTTCTTTCTTTTCTTTAAAATTGTGAACATATTCTAACAAATAGTTAACATACTTTAGGTACTGCTAAAGCTTTATATGCGATATCACCTTCATTCTTACAATAATCCTATGGGAAAAAAATAGTACTTTATAGAAAGAACTGAGACTTACAGAACTTAATTGTTTATATCATAGTCAATGAAAACTCAGTCAGAATTTGAATTAAATTAAGTTTGACTGTAAAGCCAAAGCTAAACTACCACTCTTATTATTCACTAATCACCCAATCAACAGACCAGCCAGTCAGCCCACCAACCAACATCCATCCAATCAGCCAACCAGCTAACCAATCAGCCAGCCTGCCAATCAATGGACATGTGGCCAACCAGCCATCCAACCAACACCTGGCAAGCTAGCCAGCCAACCTACCAATCAGCTAGCAGCCAACCAACATCTGGCCAGCCAGCTAATCAGTCAACCAGCCAAGGAACTAACCAGCCAAAATCTATTAAGTGTTTATCAATATGGCACTTCCTCAAGCATACCGCAGCAAATAAGTAAATTAAGTAGAAGACAGGTGTTCTTCTTGTTAATTCATTTTCTCTTTTATATTTTGTCCTTAGTTTCTAAATGATTACCGGCAATTTTAACAGAAAAGTTTGGTTGTTACCTAAAAGGAGACCTACATACACTTGAGATTTATGCAGAAGTCCATGAGTAGCTAGCAAATTAAGGTAGCAGGAAAAACAAGGAAGGTTTATAATGATAAATACCATGGTGGGGGGCACATTGAGTGAAAGGGAAAAACACTGAGATGAAACTAAACAGGATGGAACTCTCTGTCCTTTCTTCTTCCTCTAATGTTTTGATCTACAATCCTTTGATCTTAACTCAGGCTACTTCTTCAGGGAGCTCTTCTTCCATGTCTCCCAAGACAGAAGATCCTTCTCGTCTATACCTTATGGAATCTGTTCCCGCTGCTTCATAACACTGTCATAACATTTGCAACGTGACATTTGTTTGTATAACCTATCCCTGTTACATTTCCCTCAAGAAGGTCCCAGCACCTAGAGTAAAGCTGCCTTTGATAACTGACAATTAGTCCACATGTATTTTGAATTACTTATTTTGTCCCAGGGTTTTGGAAACAATGGTAGTGAAAAGGGGCACCTACTGGCTGAGTTGATAGGACATGTGACTCTTGATGTCGGGGTTGTGAGTTTGAGCCCCATTATGGGGGTAGGGAATACTTAAAAAAATTAAAAATCTTAAAAAAATGGTAGTTCAAAAACACATTAATTCCTGCTCTTTCTAGCTTACAATCTAATGGAAACTCCATAAATGTTCGATGAGTGAATTAAAATCTTAAACCAAAAGAGTTTTTTAAAGCATGAAAAACCATCTATGAAATTTAGCCAGTTAACAGGAAAATTAATGGACAAACTATAAGCAATATATGTGGTAAGGTAAGCAAAGCTGTGATCTTGGCTTTGGCAAAACCAGTCAGTCTCAACCAAGAGCTGCTTTCCACTGGAAAAGAAACCTGGAGCAGGAATTGAAAGGAATTGAGACAAGGCTACTAGTTACTAGGAGTAAGTGTAACAAACCTGTAGGATATTACATTTAGAATAAGAAATCTGGACCCAAATAAACAAAGGTTTTTGTTTTTCATTCAAGAGATCAGATATTTTTGCAATTGTGTTAATGTGTATTACAAAATACCTGGCCCCAACAAAATCACATCAACTGTTTTTTTATTTTCAAGGGCTAAGCAGAGCAATTAAGTGGCAAGTATTATTTTCAAACAACAGTCACAGATTATACTCAAAGGAACCAGAAATATTTTTTTCAAAATTTAATTTTATTTAAACAATTCTTTAAAAATTTTTTCTTAAATTGTTGAAATTCAAAACATAATTGAGTACAATTTTTTCATAGTACAAGTCTGCTAATGAAGAGAATGAAATTACTTTTGGTGTGTTTAACTGGGGTTCAGAGTTAGCGTTCCTAAGCATCACAATCCGTTGATCTGTAATGAGGTTTTATGTACCATACTGAGTATATCGTTTTCTATGCATAATTCTTTACAATTTTTTTAATGTTTATTTGTTCTTGAGAGAGAGAGAGAGTGCGCATGAGTAGGGGAGGGGCAGAGAAAGAGGGAGACATAGGATCTGAAGCAGGCTCCAGGCTCCAAGCTGTCAGCACAAAGCCCGACATGGGGCTTGAACCCATGAATCACAAGATCATGATCTGAGCCAAAATCGGCACTTAACCAACTGAACCACCCAGGTGCCCCTCTATGCATAATTCTGTGTGATGAAATTATAAGGGAAAAATAGTGAAATATAGGGCATAACCCCTATTTTCATGGAATTTATAATCTATTTGTAAAATTATCATTCCAGTGGTAGAGCAACCTTAAATACTTACTTATATATACTTCTATATACTTATTATACTTCTATATACTTATAAGTATACTTATATACTTATATATACTTAAATATAGTATAATATTACTGTTTCATGAAAGAGATGAAATAGTGCATTACAAGAGCCTAAAATAATTTTTGAGACACTTTATATAGTTCTGAAGAATACCTATAAAAAAGTGAAGCCAGGCATGTCCTTTTATTAGAAAGTCTGTAATGTGGCTTATGCTGACTTATACACACAACATTCATATTTTTTCTGTCTTAACTGTCACTTATATTCTATTACTTCATTATATAATAGTTACTTCTTTTGACACAACCCAAAAGGAATGTTGTTTTAAAAAGTTTTTATTTTAATCACCCAATGCTTATCACAACATGTGCACTCGTTAATCCCCATCACCTATTTGACCCATCCCTCCACCCACCTCCCCTCTGGTAACCATCAGTTTGTTCTCTATAGTTAAGAGGCTGTTTCTTACTTTGTCACTCTCTGTCTCTCCTTTTTTCCCTTTGCTCATTTGTTTCTTAAACTCCACATATGAGTGAAATCATATGGTATTTGTCTTTCTTTGACTGATTTATTTCACTTAGTATAATACTCTCCAGCTCCATCATGTCATTGCAAATTGCAAGATTTCCTTTTATATGGCTGAATAATATTCCATTGTGTATATACACCACATCTTCTTTATCCTCGATGGACACTTGTGCTGCTTACATATCTTGGCTATTGTAAATAATGCTGCTATAAACATAGTGATGCATGTATCCTTTTGAACTAGTGCTTTTGTATTATTTGGATAAATGTCTAGTAGTGGGATTACTAGATTATAGGAGAGTTCTATTGTTAACTTTTTGAGGAACCTCCAGACTGTTTTCCACAGTGCCTGCACCAAGTTTGCATTCCCACCAACAGTGCACAAGGGTTCTTTTTTCTCCACATCCTCACCAACATCTGTTGTTTCTTGCCATTCTGACAGATGTGAGGTAATTATCTCATTATAGTTTTGATTTGCACTTCCTGGATGATCAGTGATGATGAGCATCTCTTCATGTGTCTGTTCACCATCTGTATGTCTTCTGTGAAGAAACGTCTGTTCGTGTCTTCTGCCCAGTTTTTAAAAAATGTTTTTTATTTATTTTGAGAGACAGCATGCATGTGTGTGGGAGAGGAGCAAAGAGAGACAGGGAGAGAGAATCCCAAGCAGGCTCTGTACTGTCAGCATAGAGCCCAATGCAAGGCTTGAGCTCATGGACTGCGAGATCATGACCCAAGATGAAATCAAGAGCAGGATGCTTAATCCACTGAGCCATCCAGGCACCCCTCTTCTGCCTATTTTTAAATTGGATTATTTGTCTTATAGGTGTTGAGTTTTATAAGTTCTTTATGTATTTTGGATACTAACCCTTTATCAATATATCATTTGCAAACATCTCCCATTCTGTAGGTTGCTTTTTAATTTCATTGATTATTTCCTTCAATGTGCAAAAGCTTTACTTTAACGTAGTTCCAATAGGTTTTGGTTTTTGTTTCCCTTGCCTCAGGGGACCTATCTAGAAAAAATTTGGCAAGGCTGATGTTACTACCTATGCTCTATTC